CCCCAAAACCCCAAAACCCCAAAACCCCAAAACCCCATAATACTAATCTAAGACATATTAATGTTCAATTTAATACATTAAGTTAGGTAATTATCAATTGAGATCCTCTCTTACATATTTTCTATTATTTCTATCACTATTTTTTATGATAAAGCAGAAGCAGAATGATAGAAGAACAGTTAAAAATAGGGAAGATGCAAGGCATCCCACTGATAGCCAGAAGAAGATACTGAGATCTCTCCCCAGGTTATAATGACTCTCAGCATAGACTATATATGGATCTTACTTATGCCTAACTTCAAGCGGGATGTATTCAAGCGAATAAGTTTCGTTTGGCTTTGCTTGCTCATATAATCCTACCTCATCTGACTCATAGCACCCTCCTTAGAATTCTATCTAATCTTCCTTAGAGTCTCTATCAAAGTCTATTTTGATGCATAGTCTTCTTAGTATCTCATACTTATAGCAAGTGCCATTTCTATAAATACCGCCATGGAAAGAACAATCATATTCACAGCTAAAGTTAGCACACCATAGTTTTTATTATGTTTCTCTCCAAGCTTAGAAACTTACACCATGATCAAATTCATTTAGCCCCCATTTATATTTTGTTTGCTATTTACTATTCTCGCATTTAGGTAGCTCAGTCACATTTAAAAATGGCTGATCATAGGTTTTATCTCTATTTTGTTGTCTCCACCATAGATGAATGCAATAGTCTTCACTTGGGCCAATTGGAATGTTTGTCTTATTTTTTAGATTAAGCTTTGGGAATACATATTCAGTGTCGTTGAACAAGAAATAAGACTATTTGTAGTTTAGCAAGCTATGAAGTTCTTTCTCAGCCTCAGTCTTTGTAGGAGTATCATGATGCTGCATTATTATTTTTTCAGTTTATGATGAGTTAACATTAATATAAGGAGCAATCTTAAAAGCAAACGATATTTCGTCCATCTAGGAAGCAATGTTTTCTTTATTCCACTCAAAAATTTCTCTTTGGTACTAGCGCATATTTCTGCCATGAGGCGACATAAAGAAGATTAAGAAAAACACCAATGAAAATGCAAGTAAACTAGGAATCAGTACACATATAGTATAAACTGACTTAAAATGAGGAGTGTCGTATTTTCTGATTTTGAGGGGATCAGATATCAACACATTTTCAAAATTCACAGCTTTCATTAATTTAAATCTTTAATATAACAATATATAAACTATAATAGTAATTAAGTTAGGCAAACGGTCATAATAATAATGGCTTTTTTTAGAAGATTAAGTCTCGATGCTGTCAAAGAGTCGCTTTAGTACAAATTTCTAAGTTAAATCCACTTCCAGTAAAAAAAGGAAAGCTTTGAGAAAAACAAGGTCATTTAAATTGTCAAATTTCTTAAGAGTTGTGACATTTTTGCACAATATCCAATAAAAAACTTGTAAAAACTAGCACTAGTCTTTGATGAAATTCATGTGAACAAAGGGAAAACAGTATATTCAGAAGGCGAAGATGTGGATGGATTTTATTTGATATACAGTGGAGAATTCCAAATTCAAAAAACATTAAATGAAAAGGAAAAAGATAGAAAAGCCAAGATACAACTCAATTTACCTTAGAAGATTATTATGAAAAGAAAAATATTTAAGGAGAAGTTGAAAAAAAATGGAACTCAAATATAAACCACTGTTAATTAGTCGCTAATTTAGCTAGATCCTTACAAAAAAGCAATAGAAGATCATAGAAATGAAGAGATTAATACAAAATAAAAAAAGGATGAAGCCATTAAAGTAAGTAATAGGATTTATTAGAATTACATTTCCTATATTCACTTACTCACATCATTGTAGTGAAAATTAATAAATTAATTTTTTTAAATAGCTATTAAACTTGACGAGTAAGGGCTATTTTGGATTGTATGATTGTTTGATAAATAGAAGAAATAGGATCTATAGAGTAAAATGCTTATCTGATAAAGGAGTCATTCTCAAAGCAAATTTACCAGTAACTTTTCTTTGAAATGAATTTTTATTAGAATTTCAAGGCTTTATTAATGAAATATTTACATGAGGAGATGGATATATTTAATCAGATAAAGAGTGAGGCTGAGTTTATTTAGAATTTAGAATTAAGCATTTAGGAATTGAATTAAAAAGAGAAATATGACAAGAAAAAAGAATTCTTTGATTGAGTATTTACTACAGATCCAGAAATGAAGAGAGTAGCCAAGAAGTTTAACCATTAAAAATTTAAGGTATATTTTGATACTGAACCCGACAAAATCAAATTATATAAATCTATTCAAAAAAAGAAACGAGAACTTGAAGAGTTAAGTCTCAAAAAGGAGCAAGATTAATTGTAGAGGGTGTATAACTAAAAGCTTGCACTATCTAAAAGCAACTCAAGGGAAAGTGTTGTTTTAAATCCACCTATTCTTCATAGTTACATTAGCAGAAGTTAAGAATCTAGTCAGAGCCCCGATAATAAGCTAAATTTAATGATGAGGAAAGCAATGATCAGCAAACTTAAGGATGCCATTAACTTCATGGATCAGTAAACTAAACAGTAGGGTCTAGACGACTCTCAGTGCTCTAGAAATTTATTGGTGCTCGATGAAACTGATACTAGAATGGCAATGCTTTCTACCAATACGAATACAGTTAGGCAGACAATGTAGAAATTTTTACTGAAGAAGATAAAAAGCACACCAGCTGAACTAGAGTCAAACATAAATAAAACTTAAAAAACTAAGCCTTAGGCATTTTATTAAACTATGTATGGAATGAAACTTAACAAAACAATTTCACAGCAAGAAAATATAAATAAAAGCTTCAATAGAACGTAAAAGTTGATGAATCAAACTCCAAATTTACCCCCAAGACCACAGACTCATATTGATGTTAAGACTAAAGCCAAAAGAATAGAAACTTCTAATTCAATGAATCGAAGTATGAAGTAACCTCCAAAGCCTAGTAAAGTCCAGTAGTAAAGTTTTATGAATAACAATAGCTGGTCTCGAGTGTTTACTGAGTCTAACAGTCGTAAAAGCTCTTGTAAGGAAATTAATATTGATAAAGAGATAAGTAAGCTAGAAAGAGCCCAAAGTTCTCTGGAAAGATTAATCATGTTGGGTTAATATGCTCCTACCTAAGAGGTATTTACTAAAGTAGTCACGTAGAATTCAATGAATGAAGAAATTAAAAATATGTAGCTAGATTCTGTTTCTACAACTCATGAAAATCCTTTAGACACAGTTAATAACAATTCGTTAGACAATACGATATAGTACTATCATAAAGAAAGCATAGGTAAAAGACTGTAGGAAATGGCAAATTTAGAAGAAAATGAAGAGATAGAGCAAAAAAAGCCAGAAAAAAAGAATGTTGCCATTAATACATATCTAGATATTGAAAAAGGGAAAATTAGATATATGAGGAAAACACTAAATGGTTTTTTCAAAACTAAAAAGCTCAAAGTAAAGTTGAAATGAAGAATCACTCATTAGAAACTTAAAAATATGAAATAATTAAATTAAGCTATAACAAAGAGAAGATACAGTTATGATTTAAAACATAATAAATTTAATCTTAATTTTATAATCTATCATTCCAATTATATTGGAATAGCTCACTTCTGCTTTTGTGCCCACTCAATATTCTCTAAAAGGGCATCTGTATCAGGATTGACTACTTTGATTTCCTAACTTTCATCCTTAGGCTCCTCTTCAAATACCTAGTCTAGTTTATTATAGTCTACTGCATCTTTGCTATTCTCTTCAGGATTTAGATCTTCCTTTAATAGCTCAATCATATTATCTTTATCTGATTCCTCAAAATTTTAATTTACTATTTTTTACTTATTTCTATTCTCCCTTATCGTTTTAGATTCATGAGTTTTACTTTCTAATAGAGTAGCAGTCGGTAAGTCGTCTCTTTAATCTTACTTATGCCAATCAATTATCATTTTTGGGCTATGTGAGGTTTCTTCTGTTTCTTGGATTTTCTCCAAGTCTTCTCCAAATATTTTATGCTCTACCTAATACTTATGATCATAAATAATTTCATTATTTCTTAGCTGGTGCTTATTATCATTCTTTAAAAGCTCTCTGGTTTATTTTAATGGTCTGGGTAACTCAGGCATTGCAGTTATAGGTACTTCCCTTGATTCTAGCTATTGAGTTAGTTTGCTCTTCTCATGAAGCATATCAATATACTGTGGTGGAGTTATAGTCCTATCACATCCGCATCCATCTAATACTGTCAAAATCTAGCCCATGTATCAAATTTTTTAAATAAAGATAAGTAAATTATAGTTTAATTGATTAATAATTAACTCATAAGATAATGAAAATAAAACGAAACCTCACATTTTAATGTTATTTATACTTATACATCAATCATATTAATCATCAAAAGTTTTATCTCTGTCGCCCTAGTGATGTTTTTTAGCGGAAAATTGACGACCATTAGGGTTTTGGTTTGGCTGCCCAGTTCTTTTACGAGACATCACATTGAAATTATTTCTATCATAGCTATCTCCATCCTTTACATCAGAATCATTTTAGCTTTTAAAGATTTGCTATTTCTTGTGCACATTGAGTTTCTACTTAGAATTTCCTATCCTTTTGCTGCTAAGATCGTAAATATCCTTTCCAATTAGAAAGTTTACTCCTGAGTTAAGACTTGACAAGGAGCCAGATCCTTCATTTAGAACTTTCTTAAGATCCTCAAAGTTAACTGAGACTCTCATAGTGTTTATTTTCTTGTCTAATTTTACAGGTGTAAGATCATTTTGTTCGTCTTTGTCCTCCTCTTATATTACTATATATTTCTGGCTTTTAAAGTTGAGGTTTAAGTTTTTAGTGTCACTTATCTATCCCATTCTTGCATTAGACTTTCTATTGTTGATTGGCGCTGGTGATTGTGACCTATTGGATTTCTTAGAGAAATGGCTTGATAAGGATTGAGCTTAACTCAAATCAATTACAAGACCCATCTTATTTTATTGCATTCTTTTATCGCTAAACTCACTCTAAGATGACTGCTCAATTTTCTTTATTGAGGTCTCAGTATAAGTATTTGAGCCCATATATGAGTTGCTTATTACTCTTACTTCCGTTCCATATGAAGAGCTTCTTCTGCTATCTCTATATTGTCTAAAAATGATATCTTGCTGACTTGATTCAGTAAGTACATCCAAATTCTGTTCAAATCTTGATTCTTGTGAATTGAAATCATCAATAATTATAACTCTTGTTGAATACCCTAATTTGCTCTATGAGCTTCTTAAATTATTGTTACTTTGATGTAAGCTGCTATTTGCTTAATACTAGTTAGAATCATAGAGTACACTTTCAGGTTGGCTAGGAATCTCTATCTTTAAATTGTTTCTTAAATGCCCTTTGATTTTAAAGTACTCATCCAAGCTTATTATCTAAGAATCCTCATCATTTTAAGTGGTACCTACATATTTTTGAATCTGAATTGGCGAAATTTCTGATATAGCACTTATATCAGGATTTCTTTTCTTATATTAAGTATTTTAGGATTCTATCTCAGCCGAGTCGATTGTAGCATAAGGTGTCTCAATAAAATCGTTATTTGCATCGAATTCCTTGTCGTATTTTTCATTTAGACAAAGTCTGTAGAATTAAGCTTTTGAATTCAAACTTTAATTTAGCAATTATATTTTCTGATGAACTTTTTCATTAGACATTTATTTTATTGAAGCTCTCATCTTGTCGTCAATTCTCAACCCCTGATGTCTGAGGTCAACTCTCTTAGTAGTTTCGAAATCTTCGTCGTTGATAAAAATTTTAAGATTTACTATTTGCACTGATTATGATCTTGATTGCCTTTGGAAACTAGATTTAATTGTTGACTGCTTCAGTTCCTCTAAAGAAAAAGGCGAGACATTGAATATAAAATGACTTTCATGTTATTATTTGGGTGTGAATACCGCCCCGTTTTATTGAGACTTGACATTTGTGCTTTCAATCTAGGTTTAATTGCTTTTGATCTAAGTAATTGTAACATTCCTACTATGATTCATTTTATTTTATTTCTCACTATTCATTAATCTATTGCTCTGTTCGTAGGGTTCCTCCAATTCTTGCTTTGGCATTATATTTTTTAAGTCTTGCGCTTTTACTCGGTTATTAAAATTTATGTTATTCATAGATTTATTTCTAAGATTGCGCTTATTTAGCTGCCTCGTGTCGATTCTGTGTGAACTGCTCTATAGCACTAAAGAAGAAGTATTAAGGAGCTTAATCGCCTACCGAAATTAAGGTTTGAGTCGTCCTCCTGAAGATTAGTGGCGCAGCACTGATTACCCATTGTATTATAAATGTAAGTATAGAGTAAAAATATTTATTTATATATACTCAATTAAAATTTTATTTACTGCCTGCTTTAGATCTTAGGAAATTTATATATTCTCAAATCAACATGAATATCTACAGATTGGGGTTTTGGGGTTTTGGGGTTTTGGGGTTTTGGGGTTTTGGGGTTTTG